CAGTAGAGCCCCTTGTAGCCATCTGAGGGTCAGAACTGGAAGAAATAAGCGGAACATTCCTATTCAGAGTCCATTCACTTCCTACTCACGAAGCAGGAAGTGGACAGAGAACAGATGCCCTGATGTTCAAGTCCTGGTGTCCACGTTCTGGCAACCCAAATGGCTCAAACACTCTGAGCCTCAGTCCCCTCATCTTTTTTTTTTTTTTTAAATTTTTTTTTCAACATTTATTTATTTTGGGGACAGAGAGAGACAGAGCATGAACGGGGGAGGGGCAGAGAGAGAGGGAGACACAGAATCGGAAACAGGCTCCAGGCTCTGAGCCGTCAGCCCAGAGCCCGACGCGGGGCTCGAACTCATGGACCGCGAGATCGTGACCTGGCTGAAGTCGGACGCCCAACCGACTGCGCCACCCAGGCGCCCCAGTCCCCTCATCTTTAAAATGGGCGTAATAATGGCACCAACCTCACCAGGTTCTTGGGAATAAATGAGACCATGCGCATAATCCGCTGCTTTTGTCTGGCACGTCACACATGCTCAGCAAATACTCGCGGTTAATGTGCAGTTATTCTTGCTGTCAGGAAGGGTCTGGTTAGCCTCACCTGTGTACTCCCCTGGGTTAGTGGAAATGTCTTGGATGACCCAGGAAAGGAATAAGACAGAGTCCCGAGGCCAAAGATTTTAGCTACAAATTCCCTCGCCTTGATAGGTGTTGATGGGTAAGAATTGTTGAGAGGCAGGACTTCATAACTTATCTAAATGTAGAGGTGGATCAGGACGAAGGGAGTGGACGCAAGATCCACTCAGAAAATAGACTCAGAAGCACCTAGAAGTAAGGCCTTTTTTGACATGGGTTGTGAGTTGTGTTCCTTTTATTAATTTATTTTATACTCGTTATTTTTGGGAGACGGAGAACAAGCAGGGGAGGAACAGAGAGAGGGGGAGACACAGAATCCGAAGCAGGCTCCAGGCTCTGAGCTGTCAGCACAGAGCCCAATGCGGGGCTTGAACTCATGAACGGTGAGATCATGACCTGAGCCGAAGCCGGACGCTTAACCAACTGAGCCACCCAGGCACCCCGAGTTGTGCTCCTTTTAGCTGACCAGGATGAGCAAAAAAAAACAAAAGGGGAAAATGTAGCACTGCTCCGTTACTTAGGATCAAAATAGGGGTCTCTGGAATGCTGGGCTGGCTCAGTTGGTAGAGTGTGTGACTCTTGACCCTGGGGTTGTAAGTTAGAGTTCCACTTTGTGGGTAGATAGTCCTTAAAAAAAAAAAAAAAAATGAAACCTTTAAAACAAAAACAAAACACGGATCTCTGATATGGAAAGCAACATTCAGCCCTTGCCTCTGGAAAATCAACTAAATCTAAGTTGAATGAGTTAGAAAGAATTCTGGCCATAAAACAAGGTGCTTGAATCCACAGATCACCTTTTGTGAATAAATCATCTAAATATTACATCAGAGCTCGAACAAAAGTTCTGTGTCTCTAAAGTGACACTTTTTTTTTTTTTTAAGAGAGAGAGAGAAAGAGAGAAAGAGAAACTGAGCAGGAGAGGGGCAAAGGTGGGGGGAAGAGAGAGAATCTTAAGCAGGGTCCATGATGTGGGGCTCGATCCCACGACCCTGGGATCATGACCTAAACTGAAATCAAGAGTCAGACACTGAACCGATCTAGCCACCCAGTCGTCCTCACTCTATTATTAAAAAAAAAAAAAAAAAAAGGAACAGAGTGAAAGGAGACCACGGAGACAATCAGAATCCTTTTAAACTCCAAAAAAGGCATTTAACTAAGTAACATTTAAAAAACAAACAAACACTGGGCTTTGGAACTAGACTCGTCATATAAACAGCTATCATTCATGCAGCATTTGCCATGTTCTAAATTCTACATCTAAAGCTTGATGCACCATGATTTCATTTTATTAACATTTTTTTAAAAATTAAAAAATATTTTTTAATGTTTATTTATTTTTGAGAGAGAGAGAGAGAGAGAGAGACAGAGCGCAAGAGGGGGAGGGGCAGAGACAGAAGGAGACACAGAATCCAAAGCAGGCTGCAGGCTCTGAGCTGTCAGCACAGAACCTGATGTGGGTCTCGAACTGAAATGACGACCTGAGCTGAAGTCGGATGCTTCACCGATTGAGCTACCCAGACACCCCTTATTAACATTTTTTTTTTATTAAAAAATATTTTTAAAGAATTTATTTTTTTAGGGCAATTTAATGTTCACGGCATAATTGAGAAGATGGTATTTCCCATATATTCCCCGCCCCACACATGCACAGCCTCCCCCTATTATCTACAACACTCACTGGATGGTCCACTTTCCACCGAAGATGAACCCACATTGGCACATTATGATCCACTGAAGTTCAGTTTACCTGAGAGTTCACTCTTGGCATTATAGTTTCTAGGGTTTGGACAAATTTATAGTGACATGTATTCATCATTATGGTATCATCCATTTTTTTTTAACGCCCTAAACATTCTGTTCAATCTATTCATCCTTCTCTCACCCCCTACCCCTGTCCAGAACCACTGATATTTTTACTGTCTGCACAGTTTTGCTTTTCCCAGAATGGCAAAGAGTTGAAATCACACAGCATGTAGCCTTTTCAAATTGGTTTCTTTCACTTAGTAACATGCACGGAAGGTTTCTCAATGTCTTTTCATGCCTTGATAGCTCATTTCGTTTCAGCCCTGAGTAACATTCCATTGTGTGGATGTCCCATGCTATCTACCCACTTACTTACAGGACATCTTGGTTGCTTCCAAGTTTTGGCAACTATGAATAGAGCTGCTATAAAAATCTCTGTGTAGGTTTTTGTGTGGACACAAAAGTTTTCAGTTGTTTTGGATAAATATCAAGGAGCGTGATTACTATTGTTTCGTTTCAAGTTTTCCAGCAGCCCTTGTGGTATGATCATCCTCATCCACATTTTACAGATGAGAAAACTAGGCTCAGAGAGTCATGATTTACCTAAAGACACACGGTCAGACTAGACCAGATGGGGTCCTTGTTGCTGATGTGATGCACTAGGAGTCAGAAGGTGGTCTTGCTCCCAGTTTTGCCCAGACACCTGGATACCCTCAATCTGCTAACTCAGCCTCTCCTCCGTAAAACAATGATTTGTGTTCTATGGCTTCACAGTGTCCTGTCAAATGCAATCCTGGGCAGAAAACCACTTTGGATTTCTCATGTTTCCAGTTAGAGCTGGGGACAAGTCACCGTGTCTCTGGGCTTCACGGTCACATCTGCGCAGTGAAAGCTTTGGACTCCTCTCCGGTTCTGGAAGTGTAGGATTTTGCATCTTCACACCCCTCTTGGTGCCTCAGTGGTGATTTGGAGACCCTGGCTCTCAGGTGGAGGGATGGGAAGCTGGGAATGCTTCTAGTTGAGCCTTGGGGTTGAATAACGTTGGTAATTTTGAAGTCTCATTATCTTACTCCCTGATGTTTCGCTTCTAAACAACTGTAGTTCTTGAGGGCGGGTGTTGGGATAGCAGTGTTGGAAGTAGTTCCACTGGGGAAGGTGAAGGGTATGCAGGGTTTTTAATTCAGAATCGTGGTGACCAGATGCTGCTCAGTGTTGGTCTCCAGGGCGCCCCAGCCTCAAGCAAGGACCATGCGGCGTTTGGAATTGAGCGTGACATTAGGTGGGGGCTGGGTGTTGGAGGAGAACATAGCAAGGGGTAGGGATAATACCCTGCAGTTGCCAGCTTGGTTGTAATCTCCATGCTCTCACCCCACAGCTCTGTGACCCCAAGCTCTCCACTCCTGGCTTTCCATAAAGCAAGGATGGTAACACCCTCCTAACTGGTGTGTTAAGAAAGAAAAGACGTGGGAAGCCCCATCTGGTGCCTAGTGTGCCGCTGTCCAGCTCATACTCTACAGAGGATGGTCTGGTCCTTGAAGGGGCGGGAAGCTGCCCTGGTTGTGCTTCCTAACAGAGCTGTGACGTGTCACTGAGGATGGCACCTTCGTGTTTTTGTTCTCCTGCAGTGAGGTGTGGGCTGGGCAGTGGGAAGGGGGGAGCCAGGCGCTGCCTTACATAAGTCCTACCCTTATAAAAATGCTCTAATGTGGTTACTCTTCTTCCCACTGAGACAAGAAGACATTGAGGGGCTGGCCTTATGACCAGCTTTGGCCATCACAGCGAGATAGAGTTGTTGGCTTGCCGTTTCCAAGTCCAGGTCTCGAGGAGCTTTGTGTACTTTTCCTGCTCTTTCTTAGAAACCTGCCAGTTGCCACGAAAACAAACAAGCTGGAATGCTGGAGGGTGGGATACGAGATGGAGTAGATTCAAGGTGGCCCTGCCCCAAGCCAGCCATGTCCTAGAGGCACAACTGCCTCACTGAGCTACAGCTGAATGCGGATGCGTGAGTGAGCCCAGCCCAGACTAGAACCACCCAGCAGAGCCCCACCCAAACCTCCTACCCAACACAGTTGTGGGCTAAATGAATGGCACTCCTTTTTTGGGGGGGGGGGTGATAGTTTCAAGTTTATGGAAGAGTTGGAAAGATAATATGTCCACCACCCAGTTTCAATTCCCCCCAATGTTATCATCTTACACTACTGTGGTACAAGTCTCTTTGTCAAAAGTAACAAACCAGCAATGGTATGCTACTATGAACTAACCTGCAGGCAGTATTTGGAATAACGCCATTTTTCGATTCCAGGATCCAATCCAAGACGCCAAATGCAAAGACTAAGTCTTTCCTTAGTCTCCTCTGACCTGTGAGAGCTTCTCAGTCTTCCTTGTTTTCCTGACTTTGACAGCTGTAGGTTTGCTGGTTAGGAATTCTGTAGAATGTCCTTCCACTTGGGTTGGCCTGATTTTTTTTTTTTTTTCTTTTCATGAATAGACTGGAGTTCTCAAGTTTGGGAAAAAATACCACAGATGTGAAGTAAAATGTCCTTCTCATCACATTATACCAGGGGGAACGTGAGATCCACTTGACATCGTTCGGTGATGTTAACTTTGACACTTTTTAAAAAAAAGTATGGGACACTTCATGAATTGGCCTGCCATCCTTGCACAGGGGCCATGCTAGTCTTCTCTGTATTGTTCCAGTTTTAGTATATGTGCTGCTGAAGCAAGCACCGCTTTGACACTTAATTAGAACAGTGTTTTCCAGGTTTCTCCCCTGTAAAGTTACTCTTTTTCTAAAGCATCTGCATTTTGGAGTGGTTTGTTTTGCAGCAGTTGATAGCTGTTACATACTGCTTCCTCACTGCATTCATGCCTCTCTGAATTTGGTTTTTCCAAGTTATTTCCCGGACTGTTTTCCAACTTTAGTCTTTTGGTCGACAATCTGTTGTCACGTTGCCTTGGACGTCGATCATGCCGAAGCAAAGTTGTAACTTCGCTTTCGAAATTCTAAGAATCGTTCTGGGTTCTGGTCAAATGCTGCTGCCTTTGTAAACCTTCCATGGCTCACTCGGTAAACCCTTCTAGTATTAATTCACTCATTCGTTTATTTTGTGGAGCACTGTCTACATGCCAGTGTCTCTTCTAGGATTTGGGCCCCAGCCATGGACCAGACAATTCTCAGGAAACTCGCCAGGAGAGAGCTACACAATTAACCCAGAAGTCAAATACTTTAAACAGAAGTGTGTAACTTTGGTTTTCTCTGATATGCATGTTCTCATGTTGGAGGCATTCAATTGTAATCTTCCTGTGCATCTCAGCTAATCAATCAGTCGATAACCAGTTCAGTAAATACTTAGTGTGCATGTACCATGAACCAGGAATTGTGATAGGTGTCTACAATGGAATCTGTCATGTTGCTCTTAGAGTCACAGAATGCAGCATTGTCTTATCCAATTCTACTGTTTTTATTTTATTTTGTTTTATTTAATTTAATTTTAAATTTTAAATTTTATTTTAAGTAAACTCTACACCACATGTGGGACTCAAACTCATGACCCCAAGATCAAGGGTTGCATGCTTTATTGACTGAGCAGGCTAGGAGTCCCCATTTCATTCTGTTGTTAAACTATGAAACAAGATCAACAGAGGGGTGGCTTCCTGGGCAAATCGGAGGCTCCAATCCAGGACCAAGAAGTTCTAGCCTGGGGTTGTGTCCGACTGCTCTCTTAGCTAACATAAAAGAAATGGCTGGCAGATCTCAAAGGTGAGAGCAAATTCACTATCGCAGAGTTGGGGACAGGAGGTTGGGATGTCATTTACCCAGAAACTGGTCTTCCTCCAGGGTCAGAATATGAGACCAATTCATCTCCCCAGAATTGAGACTGCCCTGGAGTGAAAGCAGTACTCATCGAACTTGCCCTTTTGACTGAAGATCAGTCATCTTATCCATGTGTTTGTTGTCTGTTTTCCCTACTGGGATATAAACTTCACAGAGACTTGTCTGTCCTTTTTACTTCTATATTAATCACATAAATCAGAACCTGATATTTAGTAGGCATAAATACCTATGGCACAATGGAGTGAATAATGATTAAAAAAATTTTTTTTGAGAGAGGGCACAAGTGAGCGAGGGGCAAAGAGAAAGAAAGGGAGAAAGAGAGAGAGAAGTGGGGCCCCAGCTCACCTGATGAAGTACTCGAACTCAGGAACTGTGAGAGCATGACCTGAGCCAAAGTCAGATGCTTCACTGACTGAGCCACACAGACAGCTGAGTGAATATTGATTCATGAAGGGCCATGGGGCCATGGGGCCATGGTCAGTGACTTATATCATAGGAAAACTTGACTGTGTCCTCGTCCAAAATCCTATCCTTCCATGGCTCCCCATAGCCAGTAAAATAAGCCCAATACTTCAACATTTATTGGCAAGCGCTCTTTGAATTGTAAACAATAGAATCTAATATCAAATGAGCCCAATCAAACAATATACCACATATTTTATTTTATTTTTTATTTTAGAGAGAGCGAGAGAGTGCTTGTGAGCATGGGAGAGGGGGCAGAGGGAGAGAGAAAGAGAATCCTAAGCAGGCTTCACGCTCAGCTTGGAACCTGATACAGGGCTTGATCCCATGACTCTGGGATCATGACTTGAGCTGAAATCAAGAGTTGGACACAACCAACTGAACCCCCCAGGTGCCCTTACAACACATTTTAATAAGCAACAACATTTATTGCTTACCCAACTGTTTTTTTTTTTTTTTTTTTTTTTGTTTTTGTTTTTGTTTTTAGGTACAGTTGGATCAAGGAGTTCGGTTGACACATCAAAATTGACACCTCTTCCTCTTAGATCAATTGTTTTCCCTGTTGGCTTCACTCTCAGGCAGACTCTCCCCATGTAGCAGTTCATGGTTACATGAACGAAAACATCCCCTTCTTTTCCTTAAGCTAGTTTGAGTTGGGTTTCTGTCACTTTAAATAAAGAAAACGTCTTGACTAATACTCTCTCAACTATTCAGAGCATGGCATGGCGTTGATAAATGGAATGAATAAAGAAATGGGACCTGAGGATGGAGAAACTGAGTCTCATGATACCTCAAGCCCCTCTTGCTGATTGTCCCCCAGGAAGCCTGAGTTCAGTGACTTTTTTTTTTTTTTAACATGTATTTATTTTGAGAGAGAGAGCATGAGAAAGAGAGCAAGCCAGGGAGGGCAGAGAGCGTGAGGGAAAGAAAGAATCCCAACCAAGGTCTGTGCTATCAGCGGAGACCCGGACATGGGGCTCTATTTCATGAACTGCGAGATCATGGCCTGAGCCGAGATCAAGAGTTGGATGCTTGACCAACTGAGCCACCCAGGCGCCCTGAGTTCGCGGACTTTTTAACGAAAGCTCGCCTTCCTTAGGCAAATGTCGCTGAACAGCGTAGGTTCATCTGAGGGTTCTTCCTGGGGGAATCAAGATCCTGTGAGAATCCAATGTGTCTTATGTTAAACCATTGAAATTTCAACGTTTCTTTATTACCGCATGTTATTGGTTACTTACATGTTAAACATGCAGTTTGTTTTACAGCTGCTGAATTTAGAACATCCCTTTCATCTGAGGATAACTAGTCATGATGGGTTGAAAAGGTAGGCGTTTCCAGCTCCTCTCAAAGTGGAGGTGGCAGGGCTCACTCCATATCCTTAACTCTGTGCAGTGATGGCTGTGACTGTGACCTCCAGATTTCTCAGGCTATCCAGAGCTTCCAGAGATCGCCATCATCACTCAGCTTTTAGATGCTGCTACTTGGCTGCGCAAAGCATCCTTCCATTGACCTGTTGCTGCTTCCGGTAGACCTGTCAGGGAATTCCGTTGTGTTCTTTTTTTGTTTTTACAGAGCTACTCAAAATTCAAGTATGATGCAAAAGAAAGGTGAGACATGTCGCAGAGGTCATTAGTGCGCACGATGTCCAGGGGTTTCCGTTGTGTCCCAGCTCCCCTTGCAGGAAGGTTGGGACCCGTGATTGATTCTGGCCAATGGACTGTGAGAAGCAGGGGTCTGTGTGACTTCCACGTCCAGGCAATTAAAAGCATCGTGCCTCCCTTTTTTTCTTTCTTGTGGGGGGTGATCATGGAATCTTTATCAACATAGGGAAACCGCAGTAGGGAAGAAGCTTGGGTCTTGGAGTGACCAAAGAGAGCTTCAAAGAGTTGCTTGACACGCGGTGGCCATTGAGTAAGAATCAAACGTTTCCTGTGTGAAGTCACTGGGATTTCAGGGTTCATTTATTACTGCAGCAAATTTAGCCTATCCTGACTAATAAAACATGCATTCCTCCTCCAGTAGACTTGTAGGCTGGTTGCTGACCGAGGTGTATTTAAATAAGATTGCCTTGTCATATATATTTATCCACCTTCCAATTTTTGGTGTTTAGGCTTTGCCTTGAAATTCCTTTGAGGCAACAGACTTGGCTCGAATCCCAGCTCTGCTACTGATTTGCCGGTAACCCTGGGCAAGTTGTTTTACATCTCTGAACCTCAGTTGCTTCATCAATAAAATGTTGAAAATGGTTGGACTTTTGGGAGGTCCATCACTTACTGCCTGTATAACTTTTAGCAAGCTACTTCTCTTCCCCAGTTTCAGTGGCCCCATTGGTAGGAAAGAGGTAATAATGTTCCGCATCCATCACAGTTGTCCTAAGGAGTAAAGCGGAGAATGTAAGGGCCCAGTGCAAGTATTTAGTGAACTTGAATCTCTCCCTGTCTTTTTTATCCATTGAGGTCCTTTGGTTTTTCCTATCACTCTGCTTTATCCATTTCTTTCTTTTCTTGCCCCTTTCCTAATCCTTACTCGGATATAGAATTGCTTCCTTTATGGAGAAAATGTGGACTCTTTCGTGGTTGCTCTGGTGTCACTGAGAAAGAGTAAACTTTCTAAAATAGCATGGAGCAGATTTATGTGTGTATCTGTATGTTCCAACTATTTACACCCTAGTGTGGCAAGGAGTTGGCAGCTGGAAGTAGAGGGCAAAGTTGAGTCCACACCTGAAGAACATACTTAAACACACTGATAAAGACTGGTGCACCTAATCATTTGTCTTGAAGGAAACCGAAACAGTCACACTGATAAACAGACTAACTGAGAACCATTAAAATCTCAGTCACTTATCAGAATCCAAACAAGGACAACTTCAGTGGGTTTGAAGGTGAGAAGTCACTTAAGCAGAAACTCAAGACGGCAGGATTCCTTGAGAACAGGACATTTATAACAAGGTTGCACCCTGTGCTACTCTGATGTGCTACTCTGATGGGAATGTATAAAGCAAAGAGTTTGGGGCAAGGGTTGTCTGTGTGCAGGTGGGGGTGAGGCAAGAATGACACAAAACAGGAGAGCCTGAGTGGCTTAGTTGGTTACGAGTCCCACTTCAGCTCAGGTCATAGGTCATGATCTTGTAGTTTGTGAGTTCGAGCCCCGTGTCAGTCTCCACACTGATAGTGTGGAGCCCGCTTGAGGTTCTCTCTCTCTCAAAATAAATAAATAAACTTAAAAAAGAGTGACACGAAACAACCCCAGATAGGGATAAATTGAGTTTATGTGCAGACTCTTTCTTTTCTTTCCTTTTTCATTACTTCTGTTTGAACTTTGTGGTTTTCCTTGGAGAGATTGGCGCCCAGAAGGAAGGGTAGAAAGAACCAACTGACTGTTCTCAAAACAAAACAAAACTCAACAAAGACTCTTTCTTTCTCAAGGACTG